GTACATCATTTGCATGTCCCCATAGTCTTGGTGATAACATCAAATTCCTTTCCAAATGTCGATTCTCTTGTGCCAGACATTGGAGTGGGAGAGTCAAAACACAGTTTTCAGCTTAGAAGGGCATGCTTTATCAATGTGTCTCCTCTTATGATTATGGGGTGCTGGTGTGTGCTGCAAAGATACATTGTAATATGCTACATGTACATGTAGTTGGCTACTGCAGTAGGTTGCATCGTGTGCAATGTACCATGTACATGTATCAGTACATTATGCGCTTGAACATGGTGCCTTGTGGGGTACCGGAATGATGGAAGGTACCCCACAAGGCCAGTTTTGATCCTTGTGGGGTTCTAAAGTGGTAACTCACAAGAATTTCACGAAGTAGATATTTCATACTTACTCAACAAGGAGGAATTTTCAAGTGCCATTCATCCATCGCAAATTGAAGTGTTTTATATAAGGACATAAAAAGTCGAAATTTCAACCCAGGAAACTGAATTTGGTTGAAATGGCAATGATTTGAAATTCTTTCCTTGTTGTGTGCAAGTTTTGTACACGAGAACAAAGGAAATACCCCACAAGTATACATACATGTATGTAAAGGTTAGTGTGTCAATGCCTTCAATCGTGGACCTGTAACAATTGAGGACAATAGGGTCCACGGTTGCCAAAGAGTCCACAGTTGGAAAACGTGCACAAAACATATGGGAGGTCTTCCGAAAAAGTTAAAGTATGAACAAAAGGGGAACAACATCGAGTCCACGATTGAAGGCGTTTACACACTTGTGTGAGCATGGAGGAAGGAACATTCCTCCATGGTGTGAGTAAGTGCGTGAGTAGACCTTCCCAGAGTTGACAGGGCAGTGCCTTTTGTTGAAACAGTTGGAACCATGTTGTGACAAAAGAAATTGTCCCCACGATAACATGTTTGTCCCCTATCACCGATATATTTTAAAACATGTGTACACGTACATGTACGTGGAGTCCCTTATACAAATGTGTGCACTGAATGCATTCCTGCAAAATGAGGAAGCAATACTGAAAATTACCGACAGAAAAAACTGACATGAAGTTGACTCTTGATCCCTTTGGTGTTGGACACGGCCTGTTAGGCACCTTATAGGAATGCAACGTCAAGTTGTGCAGTTTGTAGGCCTAGCAGTTTGCCTTTAAATCAATGTACACATGTCTGAAAAACCACTAAAAATGTTCATCCGTATGAGAAGAAAAAGTAGTAGGTAGTGGGTGGTAGTCCCATGAACCAGAAGTGTTAACGCTGTCGATTCCTGAAAACACGATTAACATGGCTCCGTGTGGGAGCATTTCAGAAATGAATCCCCCACCCCACGCCGCTGCTGCCAACATCCTTCAAAAACACTGCAACCCAAAACTCAGGAAGTACAAATGTGCATATGTTCAGGTCATCTACATTACAATATGATTTTACAAGTACACGTGTACAGTCATACAGTCACAGCTTTATGTACATGTAACATCTACCGGCAGTCAATTAGACTAGAGTCGTTATCAGTGCATCATGCCACGTGCATGCGGGTGTACTGCTGTTTCCACATCAATACCTCAATCCAGGCAATTTTGCACAAGTTTCCAACTGTGACGATTTGACAAAACTAATTAGAATCCTCGGCATCTGTGTGTATTACTCATAGGCGAGGTAAATGCAGAATCACTAAGCAGCCCCTTTGGGGTTTATATCTTCTCCATAAACAAGAAGGTCAAGGAGACAGTCTTCAATCAAATCCTTAAGGTCAAGGGGGTGATTGCCATGCCCAAAGAACGATCCCTCTTAGCTTGACCAGATGAGTTTCCTGTACACTGTACATGCACATGTACATCATGAGGCAGCAAAACCAACCTCATGTACATACATGTATTAGCTGATGTACATGTACATTGCATGTATACATAGTGACAGTACATGTGCCTTCTTACTAAACCACTAAATCACACGGGCAGGCCAAAAACAAAAGGTGATGTCAAATTTCTGCTGACTAAACTAAAAATAAACCAGCCCTCCTCTCCCTTGGCACAACCCCCCCCCCAGACATACTCCCCCAAGTTGAACTTGGAGCAACAATTATGCAGCCTCACTCTGACTCACTACACTGTTGATCACCCAATTCCCCCCCTGCCTCTTCCCCACTCCGCGAAAGATAAAACCGTAGGGGGGGGAGGGGAAGGGCACACTACTAAAAGGGAGTTCCTGGTGATAAGCCCCCCCCCTCCCGTGTCCTGCACCATCACATCAGTGGCTGGTGAACACGTGCACCAATTATTAGAACTGCCAAGAGAGAAACGTCACCTGGAGTTGTGGATGAAGGGGGAGGGGCGGGATGCAGAGAAGAGAGAACAGGTGAGGGACCAAACATGTCTTGGATTATCTGTCAGAATTGGTCAAAGTCCCCTCCCTTCTCCAGTCTCTGAGAAGATCCACTGAGTGTTGACCAAGTCCTGATAATCTTAAGACAAACCTATCTTGCTTTCTGAAGGCCCTTTCACACCCACACAAATCTTACCGTCATGGGTTGACATACGGTTGAAAGTATTGGCCCAGTGCCAGACATGTTAACCATTAGACAGATATTTGTCCGGGCTGAGCTTCAGTTCTAGACCCCAGTTGAGATTTTTTCCAACCAGGTTTGAAACACTCACCCAAGTACAAAATGGCCAAGTAAAATGGGAACCTGAGTTCTCTCATATTGGACATCTTGAATCTTTTCTTGTATGGTGACATACAAAGGTCAAACCTCAGAGCAAACTTTGACTGATCATCATCAATAGTTCCTTTTGAACAGGAATACTGGAAGAGTGCATGAAAACACCCAAGTAGACATTTACGTACACATTTGGCACAGGTGAATTCACGTTTCAGACGTCAATATCCTCTACCACGGGTTGCCTGCTCAGTCTCCCTGTCAAAACACTTGTGTATACATGTAAGCCAGATGCTAGCTAGCACACACATGGAGTGTATTCTGTTACACTTACTTGATGACAGAATGTACTTGTAGCACCGTAGCACTGTTTTAGTTTTGTACGGAAGAAATTGCTTCTAATATAACCGCAATACCTGACATGATCAAAACAGTTATAGAAATCAAGGCAATTTCTTTTTCCAAAGGCTGGGGATTCAACAGATACTGATTTTTTTTTCTAGCTGGCAAGTCAACTGATCATGCATGTTGATTTTTCGGACTTGGACATTTTACTGCGACAAACCTTAATCTCTTCTCTGCTTAAGCTGTCACTGTAAATCGGTATGAGATGGCAGTTTGACATACGTAATGCGATTTGGGGCTTTATTTGCTTGTAACTATTCCTCCTGGGCCACAGATCATCAAAAAAAAGAAAAGAGAATCCTCCAATTTAACTTAGCATTGAATTTAATATTGCAAACGAAGACCTTTAATAGCATGGGAAGGGGGGGTGGGGAAAAGTTGCAACTCGCCAGCATGGTCCAGCTAAGGGATTTGATGCCATGACTGCGTGCTCTCAAAGCTAACTCATCTCATTTGAACCACTGCACGGACATGACCGGGCAGTGTGCTCACTCACTTTCACTGGGGAACTACAGTGCCTTGGCTCCGTGCTGTCTGTGTAGAACTGGCCTATTAACAAAAAGTAATGTGTGACAGATGCCAGCAAAATATATGTAGGGCCTGATCAGTCAATATTCACGAATAATTGTTAATTCTTTCCTAGATCAGTTGATTCTAGGATTTGTCAATAATTCCATCATTAGCCAATTGCTTTTTCTTTCTAATTCACAGTTGTGAAAGATTGTGTCTAAAAAGGAAGTACATTTGGAGATTTCGTGCTGGACTGACCAATCAGGCAGACCGATCGCCCAAACTTGTACGTGTACACTACAGTACTCATTTGAAGTTTTTCAGAAACATTAAACTAATTAACGCTGTCACATTTTTAGCAACACTTACAGAACTGCAGAATAGGCCCCAAAAACCTCCTACGAGTTACCCAGAGAACTGTGGGATGCGACATCCGCTGCACTCCCACGAAGCACAGCCGACGTCACACCCCACAGTTCTGGGGGTACGTGTACATGTGCCTACCAACATGACCAATATCATGCCCATATGACTCCCACACATGTTGTGTATCAGCCCTGCTCACACACACATTTGACATGAACACGACGAATGTTGCTAGACATGATATGGTAGGTGCACATGATGTCAAATCATGGATAAACTAGGCCCAACCAAATTTTAAAGGGAGAGTTCTATACAAAGACATCGTTAATATTTCCCTACAATCAGAAAAGGATAAAATGTCCTTAAAATTCAAAATTGGTGAGGAAAATATCAAACCATTACAAAACCCTCAGGCCTCAGTCCTGGGCCCACATGTACAGTAGTTTGTAAGCCTAGGCCTACTCAAAGAATTTCAGACCAGTCAGGACATCAACAGTCTCATGCCATTTGTGCAATTGTGTGCACAGAATGTAAAGTGATTCATGAGTGATGATGTATGGAACTCTTTCCGATTTCACTTATTCTCCATGTTCAGAGGTTGTCCAATAAGAAAAGAGTTCCATACACATATTATTGACACTTCCTCCATAGTACAACTTTTTCTCAAGATCATCACTTGACACCCTGTGCACAAACCAGTTTGAGCATGAATTGATGAGATGGGCATGACGGGTCTCCAAGTCATGTACGCCCTCAGTACTACTACATGTAGGTCTTACGTTAACCTATTTTCTAACAAAGTCATGAAAGTAACATGTCTAACATCACAGTTCATAGTCATACACTTCAATATGTTCCCTGCAGTGATAGGAAATTTCGCATTTAGGACTGATGGCTGATAGGCCTACCACTTTCGGGAAAAAAAATTGACCATAAAATTAACTGCACAGTAAGCCTGATCCGAAGGGACACGGGCATGACGGGTGACAGACGTGGATATGATCATGAAGTCACGATTCTTAATTTTATCTCACTCTTTCTTACCTGTCATTATAGTAAAGTGTCATTGCCGTTGAAAAAGAAAATCTTCTTTAAAGGTGCTAATGCTATTTCCATAACCGTTCATGTGGGTCTGCTTCCTGTCTTTTCAAATCAGTAAATCCAAGCCAAGTCCGGTCGCGAACGTCATGAACCCGCGGTTTTTTCCTCCCTAAACGCGCCACTATGAAGCATGAATGTAGTGTACATGTACATGACGTACATTGTACGATGTACATATGTACGTGTGTATATGCGTGGACGACATCGGCAAGGTCGTGATATAACCGTCCGAGTAAGACCATTTGTGATTGGTCTATTTTTGCACATTGACATTATCACAATAAGACGGACCAATCAATAGGAAAAATCAACACTCACGGCCTCATGCGGGTAGCGACCAAACAATCGCATGATTCAGCAGAATTGTGCTGTGACCGCATAACTTGGCTACGGCTAGAGATAACACACCTAGTACCTGCTCATGGAGCCGTCAGCTAGCCACTTATTTTCCACATAGATGCATGTGTTATGATCAGCCGTAGCCAGTAATTCGCCTGCGGCCTTGCCATTGGGGAATGATTTGACGTCATTACACATGGCTATTGTTTGGTGTGTCAAAACATTATGATTCACGAGATTGGATCCGCTGCCAATGGCCTGAGCACGTAGGAGAGACAGGTTTTCAGTCGCACGGAGCAATACTTCTCAATGTCGACGGATATGAGACCCCCCGAGAAATACCGGAACCGCTGGCTAGCGTGTTTTAATACTTCAGGAATAAGCGTGAAATGTCATTTATGGGTCCAAGAAAGGTGCAAAGTGCCCCCCTCACCTCAATACAAGCCACGCCCCCCAAAAGGACCCCCCCCCAAAAAATGCAATTACAGCCTGCCTCAGAGGGTTTCCATCGGATTTATTCAGAAAGAATTGGGAGGATGTAATTTACGAGTCCCCTTTTACTGCAGAATATTTGTGATCAAAACATCTACCGGGTGCCATATTTGTGTTTTTCGAAAAAGTGTCTCATACCGAAGAGCTAATACACAATATTCTGGGAAACCCATGTACTTTCCGCTGGGGGGTTTTCTTGCCAGTCTTGAGAAGAGACTAATCTTCACTCCTAATGGAAGCTTCCCCTTTTGAAATTTCGGACTTAACTTCCTTTTCACCAGAAATCCTCTAGATCCACAAATTTGAACAAATTGCAAATATTTCTCAAGAAAAGGTATTTCCAAATTGAAACGACGAAACACAAAGGGTGTGTGGGTTGATGCAGGCGTGACTATTGTGTGAAATGAAATGAAACTTGCCCCCTGACGGATTTTTTTGTTTACAAAGAATACATCATAGGAAAGAAAGTAATCGGAATATTTCTTTTTCAAAAATTAGCACCGAAACCCTTTGAAAGCAACACTATGACATAAAGCAAGGATGGGACCGCGAGTAGGGCTTTTGCTTTTTTTTTATCCCCCATCATCATGTTGAATGATCCCAAAAAGTCGCATTTACTTTTGAATTTGCCCCCCTCTCCAGAAACCAAAAGCTGGTTACGCTCCTGGTGGTCCCTTAAATTTCTAAGGTGCACAACTTTGATTTGATTTATAAAT